TGGCCAGTGATCTCTTTGTTTCTGATGCATGCAACTGATGCTAAATACAGACTTATTTTGATTCTTCCTGCAGCCCCTCCTGTTACAAGATGTTTTATGAGATTGTCTGGGTTGCTTTAGTGAACCAGCTTTAGAAGAAGAAAGCATAGAGAGACAGCACAGGCAAATGTAGCTCAATTTTTCATGTCAGTTTGGCTTTAAAGGAATAATGTTTCCACAGTTGTCTGAATGGTGATTTCCGAATCTGAATGCACCAGGTACTCAGACACCCAAGATTTACTTCTTCACTATTGTGTGATTTCTGTGATGAACTGTTTCCTATAAAAGAGCTCTCTGTACAGTACAAAGGCAAGAGGGAATCTTAAACCTTGGGAATCTTTTTTTTTTCTTTCTTTCTTGTTTTTTTAAATCCTCTGGAACTGTTCATAAGGTAATATTCATCGTCGGCTTTTAAAATAGTAGCATTTATCTTGTTCTAAGTACCTCTTGTGTAAGTATTTTCAATAATATGAACAGAGTGCAATTCCCCTTGGCAGCATTTGTTGGTTGCTCCATTAAATTACAGCCTGCTGTGGGTGGGTGTATGTAAGAAACTCGCCTTTTTGTGCATAAATAACTTGGATCATTACCATCAGAGAGCAACTTCTCAATAGAAGTCTGAATGTCATGGTTTTTGACAGAGCATCTGCTTATTGTATTTATGTGGTTATTCTCCTTATCCTCCCTCCCCAACTGGTGCCAATATTCAAAAATTCAAGTACAAAGTACAGGGGAGAGTTCATTCAAATAACTTTGACATGAATAATCATATTTTCAAATAATTAAGCATTCCAGTTAAACCCCCTTATTTTGGTAAATATATCCAAGGTCACAGCACAGGAATTTCAGATTTTCTACCACGTTGCTTGACTAGGTTCTGCTTATGACTCAAAATGGCCTCTTCTAACTTAACAGGACTTCTAACTTAACAGGACTCCTTGAGTTCAACTTTGTTCTCTTGGGTATTTGGATAAATTAGACAGACTAGGATCTATACTATAACCACATAGGAGAATATTTAAAGTGATAACCATATTTTTCTGTTTTCCCCAGAAACATCAGGATAATGCAACTAAATTTAAAATTTTCATCCAAATCATTGTTGGGGTCATATATAAAACTTGGGTTATATTTCAAAATTTTTAAGTCAGGCAACTGTGCTCTAAATAATAACATTTGTAATATAATAGTGTACAGGTTGTAATTCTCTGAATCAGGTTCATTCCTATATAATTTGATTTCTATTAAAAGATGGCAGTGCTGGCAATGTTAATTATAATGTATATAATTAAAGCTTAAAAAGGGCAGAATTACACAAATTAAATGATCTGTTTGCCACTAACTGATAATGCAAAAGTACCAAATTGAGCCTATTATTCTATGCTCCACTCATGGAAAATCCCTTATAAGCAATGAGAAAGCATTTTGCACCAATGTAAGAAAACTCAAAAGTGGATTTCAGAAAGTATCATTCTAGAAGATGGGTGGAAATCCCTACCATGGTGTCTGACACATCAGAGGTGTCCTTCAGGAATAATAGTTGACTTTGAGATTATGCAAGTGGGAAGAGATTCAACATTTTTGTGACTAAATAAATCTTCCATGCATATGTTTTTGCTTTTATGTATTTAGTAAAAATCTAATTTTATGTATGCCTTCATAATCAGCCTTTTCCATTCCCTGCTCCCAAGATCTCCTAGACATACATCATTTGAATACAAATTTATAGGACAGTTCAGACTATGCAGTCAATCCTAAGGGGATTGGTAAATGCACTTAGTTTTTATATGGCCTTTGTGGGTCACTAAAAACATTTACAATAATATATTTTGCTTTGGTTATTATCTTCCATGACATGAATAAGACAATGATTATGGTTCTCTCAGTAATTGTTGGGAGGACAAGGTCCACATGTCTGATTGTCGTGAGTGGTGCAATGTCATAAATGGAGGTCATGATGGAAAACATCAAAGGAAAGAGGGAGGCTCTGGTACTGAACACAAGGGACACCACATAGCCAAGCAGTGAATTCAACTGGAGATATGCAAGGTGCTAACTAGAAAAAAGACGTTTAAATAGAAATAGAGCAGATGTAAAAAAAAAAAATGTATTTAGTGAAAAAACTATAATGTTCTAAAAATGAACATTAAAAAGATAATGAAAAAATTCAAATATCAACTTTAATATTATGCAAGCATTTGAGATGCAGCCTGATTATCTCTTAGATGTTCTCCCAGAGGGAAGGGAACCAGGGATGGGTGGCATGTGATAGTGTTACCTAGCACTTGTCATGTGACATATTTCTCCTCCTTCCAAAACAAGTCCTCTCAGTACTTTTAGACTTTAATGACTTTGCATTTCTTGCCGTCACCTAAAATCAAAGATTTTATATGGGTTTACTTCTCCAGTTTACCCGCTTCTTCACTATTTTTGATCCAGTTTGAATAAATCACTTTGTAGCGCCTGCCTTCCCTTTGTCTATAACAATATTTTTCCTACTTTTTAGAAATTTCCTTATAAAACCTCTGTTTTTTTCCTTCAAAGTTCTACCAGATTATTTGAAAGTGAAAGACCTATTGATAACTATTTCTCAAATATAATACATCATGTTAAGAAGATAAGCAGAAGAATTTCCAGGGAGGATATAGTCAGAATCTCTAGGGTTTTCAACAGTTCTCAGTTCTAAAATAAATGTTAATCTATGGGATTAGAGGCTTCATGACTTGAGTTAATGTAGGAAAGTTTATGACATGTGTGAGAGGTCCCGAAATGTATTTTTTTATGTCTTAAAAATATGTTTACTTGATTTTTAAAAGAAAAGATATTAGTGGTTTCACAGGACTTGGAGTGGGTGATAACCAAAGACTAGTTATTGAAATGATGAGAATGTCCCAAAATTAATTATAGTAATAGCTCTATATATTTAAATATATAATGAAAACAATCAAATCGTATATTTTAAGTGTGCAAATTGTATGTGTATTTTATCTTTATAAGATTGTTAAAAATTAATAAGAAAACACATTCTCATTAAATTAAGAAAGAAAGAAAAATATCTTTACTTGAAGTTATTTAGTACTTCCAAAGTGTGAAACAATGCTATTATAAAGCATGTTTCAATTGTTCAAATAATTTGTAAAATAAAAGGAACAGATTGATAGACTGGCAGCAGAATGGTGACTGTTTTTGGCAAACGTCCAGGATGAGGAATAATGAGCAAAGTAGTGATGTTTGGCTGAAAAAGATAATAAAGGAATTAGCAGTGTTTTTTTTTTCCAGATTTCAGTGGCTGCAATGTAAAGATAATATATTTTGTCTATTTGGTGTCAAAGCCCCTGGGCCTATTGGATGGAAGTTAAAGGAAGACAAATTATTCCTTGTCCTCCTTTAACGTTTTCACAGTGAGACTGGCCTACTACTGGAAGGAGAGGTGGACATCTCTCTGATGATGAAAGTTTTTAGACAGATGCTGGTGGCTGAGCTACCCATGAGACATGAATAAGTTCTGTGGCTGACAGGTCAAATGGGACCATCTCTGAAATCCTCACTGAAACTGTGATTATGAATGTTCAATAGACACATTTGTTATATGTTTTTAAAAGTGTGTTAGCAGATCCAATAGCTGCCTAGGTGGTGAAGGTGCATTACAGATGAGCACAGTGACTTCTCTGTGACAGTTTTCATAGTGTAATGTAATGCATGTTATTTTCCTATCCCTCTCCCTTTTCCTTCTTTTTTTCTTCTCTTATTTCTATTCCATCCCTGGACTAACATATCCTGGCTTCCTCTTTCTTGTCCTCCTCTACTTTCCTCCTCTTCCTTCTTCTTAATAATGTGTTTCAATTCTTCCTTCCTTCTTTCCTTTCTCTCTCCTTCTCTTCATTTCTTCTTTCTTTCTTGCTTGCTTATTTTTTTTGAAGTTCCCATCCCTCTCCTCCCAATGAAACAGAAGAAACACTGTGTTTTCTCTTTTTTCATGTTCTTCCTTTTATCTAGGCCCACCAGCTTCAAATGGAGGCTTTACTGGAAAGTATTTCATAGCCATAAACAAAATGGCTTAATGGCAAAATGACATGTGTAATTGTGTGCAGGCCAGCCTTGACCACACCCACAGAGCGATTTGTCTCATACCCATTAGACATAATTTGGGGTTCAAGGACTTTACTTGAATTCTAGTGTCACCAGTGTGGATGTTTTGGTAAACTATAGAAAGTGGAGAAGGAATTAAAAATAATGACATCCAATGTTATGAATCTTGGCCCATGAGTCTAATAAAATTAAAAACTCACGAAAGCTATTTAGCTTCTATGAGAAAAGGCCTCTTGTGTATTCTAAAATCTAAATGTGTACTTGCTACATGAGCAAGTTTACCCTATCCCATTCTAAGTATAGGTCATTACTGAGACAATTAATATACAAATAATCCTTTGTATCATTCAATTTTAGATTAAGCCACATACAATGTATTTCTTTCTTTTCTTTTTTTTTTTTTTGGTACCCAGGATTGAACTCAGGGGCACTCTACCACTGAGCCACATCCCCACATCCCCATCCCTATTTTGTATTTTATATAGAGACATGGTCTCACTGAGTTGCTTAGCACCTTGCTTTTGCTGAGGCTAACTTTGAACTCACAACCCTCCTGCCTCCATCTCCTGAGCCACAGGGACATACAGTGTATTTTTGAGTGACTATTTTTGCAATGATTAGGGTCATAGAACTACAAGTGTTATTGTAATGTATTTTTTCCACTTAAATGTTACTACATGTGAGATTACATTTGTTTCTGTTCACATTTTATTTGTAGAAAGAAGAATTCTAATTTTCAGATGAAAATTAGATTTGGAATTTCCTAACTATCTTTTGACTTTTAAGAAGAGGGCTTATATTGCCTGGCTATGTATACAAATTATCCTAAGAACAGTAAATTGCATGAATTTATTATCATGCTTCTCTTCCAGGTGAAGACCCTGAAACAAGAAGAATGAGAACAGTTAAAAACATTGCAGATTTGAGGCAGAATTTAGAAGAAACTATGTCTAGTCTTCGTGGGACCCAGATAAGCCACAGGTTTTTCTCAATTCTGTGAATCTTTGGGCCAATAAAGAAAAAAACAATTACAGTCAAGCACTTCATTTCTCTAATAATGATATAGAAGAAGTTTCACTTATCTTTTAGTATTTTCTCATTTGAATTTTACATGATAATCAATTAGTAATAATCCTTGAACTGAAAATTCTCAGCATATACCCAGGGACTTTTCTCCTTATCCATCTCTTCTGTATAATTTGCTGTTCAAACTGAATTAGCAGCTGCAACTACCCCATCACAACTAAGATTTTCATGCCTGTCCCAGAGAAGAGTGGCAGAAACTTCAATGGATATGTGCCTAGGGAGGAGTGATAGAAATTATTCAAGCATGATTGCAATTAATTTTCAAGATAGGTTACAGTGGGTTCAGCTTAGAATTTGTTGGGAAAGTGAAACAAATTGGTTTTTATCCAAAATGTAATGATGACCTTTCCTTTAAAAGAACAAACAAACAAACAAAAAATAACTGCAAATGAATTTCCCTTCCCACATTTTGACATATGCAAAAGTGATTGGAATCACAAATGAGTAATTTAGCTTTCATGAAAGTACTATGCTGCTAAAAAATGAGACTCTGGTTTTCTCTTGTCTTTGTGCATTTATGGCCTGTGGCCCTAGTGAACCAGAGGTGGGTTATCTCTCCATTTTTATTTAACAGCACCCTGGAGACAACATTTGACAGCACTGTGACAACAGAAGTGAATGGAAGGACCATACCCAACCTGACAAGTCGACCCACTCCCATGACCTGGAGGCTGGGCCAGGCATGTCCCCGCCTGCAGGCGGGTGATGCTCCCTCCATGGGTGCTGGCTACCCGCGTAGTGGTACCAGTCGGTTCATCCACACTGACCCCTCCAGGTTCATGTACACAACGCCTCTTCGCAGAGCTGCCGTCTCACGGCTGGGAAACATGTCACAGATTGACATGAGCGAGAAAGCAAGCAGTGATCTGGACATGTCTTCTGAAGTGGATGTTGGTGGATATATGAGCGATGGTGATATTCTTGGGAAAAGTCTCAGAACTGATGACATCAACAGTGGGTAAGTGGTCCTGATCTCAGCAGCACTATGTGAGGGGGGGAGGTGGCCTCTTGGGATACATTCCTGTGAAAACATGGGAATTTCACTCACCTGATCCTTAGAAAAGGCAAGCAATCCAAAGTATACAGTACTGTTTCCGAGTTCTTTCATCTGCCCATACATGGAAAGTAAAATATCTGAGTTTTCTGTAGATTCTTTTCATTTAAGCCAGTAAATTTTCCTTTGGTTAGTTTTCAGAAACCCATGTGGCCTGTATTTTTCAGAGTGGTTTTCACATGCTCTCAGTAACAGATTTTGTAGTGAAGGACGTGGGAAGAAGACAGGAGGAGCTTTGCTGAACTGCTTGACTTTCTTTTTTGGCTCAGGTTGCCTCTAACAGCTTTGAAGAGAAAAAAATTTTTTCTAGCATTCTTTGATTATATGCTTCCAATTAAATGAGGGAAAAATAATTTTAGAGTAGAAAGTTTTGATCAATGTATTCTCCTTCAATGGTATTAAACTTTTAAAACATCTTAGTCTTTGTTTTCCTTCTGTCTTCTATTATATTCTCCCCTGTATTTTGGCAGCTTGGAATCCTTGGTGTAATCAGAGAATGAGCCCTAATGCAGGCATAGGATATTCTTTTAAACTGTCTTCTATGAATAATTGCCATTTTGAGCACTTCCTGTTATCTACCATATTTTGTTAAAGTGCTTAAATTTATTGTTTCATTTAATCTCCCCTCCAGCAACAACCCTTTTGGGGAGGACATTTTTAGACATTTTTGCATATAATGAAACAGAGCCCAATTGGCCCAAATGGTGTACATAGGAAAGGCCAGACTTGCTTTAGAATCCAGGTATGTATGACTTAAAAACTGAGGCTCTGAAATTTATGGAAAAGTCTGCCAATTAACTTTACCTGTAATTTTTATGTGAGTCTGGGATTTGACCTACTCTTAATCTTTATTCATTTTAGAGGCCCAGTGTAAGAAATCATTCTTCCATATGGGTAACCCTCCCTAATTTTATTGATTAAAAGCTTATGTTTGAATGATGACAAGACCTAAAAAAAAAAGAAAAGAAAAGAAAAAAGAGCTTTTGATCACATGTATTGCTCTGCTATGATATTCTGGTATCCACCCTACTGGAGTTTCAAACAATTTTAAAATAAGGGAGATGAATGAGGAGGAGGGTAGATTGTAGTTTGGTTGCCATTGGAATCAGAGTGAAAACCAAATTCCTTTCTATCATTGGACCCCTTGGGAACTTGGAACTTGTGTTACTCCAGTTCTTTTATTTACTTATTTTTGTTAGCTGGAATAAGGATAAAATTATAGCACCTTCATGAAGTTTTTCAGAATAAAGGAAATCATCAACAAAATTTCACTTATCCCAAAGTTTGCACAGTGTTAAGTATTTGATAGATTTATCCTCCTTCTTATCATTACATTTCTTATAGTTAATATAATAGAAACTGTGCTTGTTTTTAGTTAGCATATTTATTCATATGTAATGTGTCCTAGAAGGGAATACCCAGTCCAGGGAACATCATGGCAACATAGAAATATCTGAGACATACTCTTTCCCTCATATTTCCCTTTTTACTTCTCCATTATTTCTGTTCTCCCTCCTACCTTCTCCTTTCTTTTTCTATTTCTTTAAATGTGAACATATATGTATCTTCATGTTTTACATTCACTCTTCAAATCCATTGAATGAATATTTAATTTTATATACAAATATATATTCTATATATGCACATATATTTACATACATGCAAGTGCAAGCAATTTCATTATTCCTGGTAGTTTTATCTTATTATATGAGACACACAAGTACTGAATTAGTGAGCACTGAACCATTGCTCCTAGGGGAATAATAGGTTTAGGTTCCTGCAAACTTCTGGTTACATTTTCATTAAATAATCAGTATATAACCATGTTTTATGAGTGTTTCTGCTTAAACACACCTTGTTAAATACATACCTTTGATTCAGTAACATGGAAATCACAAACAACAATGACACACCTCATGTCTAATTGAAGCTTGTCTAATACATTTTCTCTGTGAGACACCTCTCAGCTTTCTCACACTTAGGAACACAGATGGCACCTCTGCACCGCACCTACAGGGTGTTTTAAGTCATAAGATTTCAAAGAGATAGGACCGAAATGTGAAAAGGTGGCACTAGACCATGAATAGGACATTTTGGGTGGTATGAGAGCTGAATGAAACAAGTAGACCGAGTGTTCCCTTGTTTGGCCTCACCTGAAAACCCATGAGACTTGAATTTTTCACTTTTCTACACATGTCCACAAAAGACTATGAAAGTACAGCAAGTATTGATTTTGAGTCTACAAATAAAATTTAGAAAAGTAGGCACATTCACAAATGTAGGGTTTGTGAATGATGAGGATTGAGTGCATTTATGCACACAGCATATCGTGGGAGCAGCTTAAATCAGAAATCAGAGGAGCATCCACAATACAACATGTGGATAATTTTGAGAGACTCAAATAGATAAAAACTGAGCAAAAGTCAGAATCAAAAGAAAGTGCTAAACTCTGGTATGAAATAGAAAGGAGTTTGGTTCTGTTTCCCGATTTAAATAACTGTAGATGAGGAAAATATGCTAAAAGAGAAAAATTGTAAGAAAAGCTTAAATACAGAAGATGTAAGCCATTCAGTAAACTTGACAAAAAGATAATTTTTAGAACCAGTGGGAGAGTTGGGTCAGATGATATTCAGTCTTCTTTCTCCTAACTGAAATGCATGAAAGATGAATATTTAAGGACAAATTCTAAGAGCTGGGGACTGTCAAAACAGGCCTCCACACCATCATCCTAGAAAGTTTGAACTGTGTACTATCAACAATGGAAACTGCAACTTCATAGAGATTATGAAATAGTCACAGAACAGGACATGAAGAAGATGATAGTTTTTGAAAGACCTGTTTGGTGGAGGCACAGAAAATGGATACAAACGAGAAACTCTGGAGCTAGACTCAGGAACTATGTTAAGAGTTCAGATTCAAGGTTAGAAGGCATTTGTGGGGGTGAAGGGAGAAAAATAATTGATGAGGGAAGCACTTGAATGAAAAAATTTTGCAGGGATGATGATGGACTACACATGAGGATATATGGGAGATAAAGAAATCAGTCAAGATACCTACATTGTAAACACAGGAGATAGTAAAGGATACGGTTAAAGAAAATAGGATGAGAGAGGGAGCTGATTTTTTGTTGAGGGTGTAGATGAGTTGGAAACAGTGGGATATAGTTTGTGAAAAAAGCAAAAGTAGTGTCCAGGAGAGAGAGCTATGTCATCTCAGTATAAGATAGTGGACATTGTGGAGGCATGAGGCCTCCTGGGGAAAGAATGTACAAACGGAAATAATAAATTAATAAACATATACAAACATTTGTGTATATATATATATACATATATATATTCAATTTTTATATATATTCATACATGTATACATACATATTTTATATATACATACAGACACATATATGCACATTCTATATATATACATAACACATATACATAGACATATTTGTGTATATAAATTCAATTATATATATATTCTTATAGAAGAATATACTTATATGTATATAATTATATATATTCATATATATGTGTGTGTATGTGTGTGTGTATGTATATTACAAAAATATTTGTTGAGTTCATTCTATGTGTTAAGCAATATTCTGGGCACTGAGCGGGTAATAGTGAACAACAGAGACACAGTACCTACCCACACAGAGTTCACATATTAACATTTTTTGTACTTGTATAAGTGCTTATTTATTTAATAAGTAAATATGTGTGTTTTTGAGTGCATAAGTATTCTGATTTAAGGAACTATTTTAAACAACTGAGTTCTCATTAGTAATGTATATTACAGGCATACCTTCCTCAGGAACATTTGGTCTTTTCTAGGATACTACCTGTATTCGGTAATACTAATTTTGGTAACACAGCAATCTAAAAATTTCAGTAACATAGCACAAATAAGCTCATTCTCCTTCACATAAAACCCTCCCTGGTGTTGTTGACCTTCAGTTAGGGCAGAGTCATTCAGAGAGTAAGATGGTAGTTCTACTATTATCAAGTCAAGTTTCCAGAGTCATCTTGGACATTGATATTCAGTAGGCAAAAGACAAAAGAGATGAAGCACCGTGGTGTAAGAATATTTTGTTTGCACTAGGCCTGGACATTTTGCAGATGAATTCCACCCACATTTTCTCTCCAGAAAACCACATGGCCACATCTAACTATAAGAGAGGCAAGAAAATATGGTTCAGCTGTGTGCATAGGAGGAGGAAGCTGGTTTGATGAGACACAGCCAGTCTGCTGAATTGGCTATTGAGAAAAAGAAAATGTTTTAGATCCTTTGTCCTCTCTTACTTGTTTCATGGCTCCTTTGAAATCTGCTTCATACTTCTATACGCCTTCATTTTTGTTCCTTGAATCTTTCAAAGAATGCCTTGGACAGTCTCACAAAGGAGTCTCTTTAAATGGGCATTGGTGGCCCACATGTCCTATGTCACAAATATCCCAAATCCTGTTTGAAAGCTTCCTCAGGAGATATTTACCTGCATGGACTTATATATTTTTTTCTTTTCCATGTGAGAGGGCAGGAGAATGAAATTTAAAGCGCAAGTCAGTGCTGTTTCCTGTCTGGGGAAGACTAGACATGGTTGACAGGGGATGGGGATGGTCTCAGCTCAAGGGTGTTTGGAAGATACTGACTGAAGGACAGCCAGGGGTGTGGTACGTTGCTCACCAGTGTATGTAATGTGCCGTTCTTGGCACCTGCAGGAGGGAGCCCAGTTCCTCAGTTTAGAATTTAAATGTCAGGAGATGAATGAGATGGAGCTATCCTAGAAAACGTTTAAATTATGATATTTTCTTTAAGTCATAAAAGGGGCTCAGAAATACCTGTGTAACAACTCATAAAAATATTAAATCAAAAAGTTCACTTTCTCTTGACAGTTTTTTAAAGTATGTTTTACTGTGTAAAGGAACAAAAGTCTTAATAGATACAGTAAAAAATGAAGATGTTTGATTTAGGATTTTTTCCCCTCATGTAACCATAAGAATGCATGAAGTCAGTGTAAATGGGAATGAAGTTTCTTTTTTTTTTCCATATGCTCTAGGTAGAAATAAAAAAAAAATTACTTGATTGGTATTCTGAGAATTCAAAATTTCTTGAAGCATGCAAAGACTTATCTCTTCTCTTTTTGAAATTACTCTACACACTTGGGGATGTGAGTCTCTCAGTAATTAGGAATTAGTCAGAGTAAGACCTCTTATTTATAATAAGTGTGAAAAAGTCTCCATTTATAAAGAAAAAAGGAACACTGGAAAATTAGGAGAAAAGTTACAGACTTTAATTGGGTGGAAATTGAAGTTACCTTTAGGCATCCCGGTTTTAAATAGTATAAGCAATGCATGTAACTATAAATTAAAATTCTCCTCAAACCACATGACTCAAATACAAAATAATTTAAGAATTCTGAGGCATGGAATTTAAGAAGGCTTTCCTTTTGCCTCCTCAGTTCTTCTTTAGTAAACTTTGAATGACGACAGTATGCATAACAGTGGGAAGATCGGGGTGCCTGAGCTACTAAGAGGACTTCTGGTGAACCCTTGATTCCTAATCTTAATTCCGCCTGTTTTCATAGATGTGAGCCATTTTGGGTGAAGACAGAAATTTTAATGGTAAAAAACAGCTGACAATACTAGTCAACAATGGCATATTATTTATTGCATTCTGGGCAGTGTTTTATGATCCATCAGTCCATCGATACATCAGCCAAAATTTATACATCAGCACAGATAGCATGAAAAAATGCCCCCTATCGCAAATGTGCTAGCTAAGAAAACTGTACTAGTAAGAGCTGACTGCTATGAATGTTTTTTTAATGACTGTATTAAAAAAAAAAAAAAAGCTAGTTGCTCAGAGAGAAGCTTGGGCATGCAGACTATCTCTCTAGGCCACTATGTCATGATGTTTAAGAGTGCAGACTGGAACCAGACTAGAAGAGAGCCAAAGGGGGGGGAATAAAAAGGAGAAGATAATTAATTACAACAAAGATGATGACAAGGTACTGTCTCAACTCCCAAGACACAGAGGATAGCAAAGGGACATCTAATGATACTAAGAGAAAAGAGCCTCAAATAGCAAACAGAAACTGACTTAAAGCACACAGAAATTGGCTGACGCTGGTAGGGATTTGGGCCACTTGACTAGTCAAGAGTGCGAGGGCTGATGGTCACTTTGTGACAGGAATATAGCAGTCTAAAACCTGTAAAATGCTCAAATGGCCCAGCCATGGGTCTCTTTCAGGACAAGGCCTACAGGAGGCTGACTGTTGAGAGTAGAATCACACTCTCTCTTAGTGGCTGGCAATAAAGGTGCAAGCGGAGAAGGTCCTAACAAAAGTGGGAGATGGGCACAGAGCCAAAGTCTGTAAAAGCAACCTACTTCACAATTTTTTAATTACACAGACATAATAAGGACTATTGCTATATGAAATTAGAAAGCTACTTAAGCCAACCTTCCTTTTATTCAGAAAAGTTAATATTACATACTAAGAATGATCAAGACAAAATCACCAGGATTAACTTCATATAAGCCATGCATATGTGCAGTATATTTAACTAGACAAGGACTAGTATCAGAGAGGAAGACAAAACAAAAAAGTAGAATCTAAGAAAATGAGCAAAACACATTAACATACATTTTATATAAACATAAATAGCCTATAACAAAATAACAGTATGACCAACCTACTTAGTAATGGGGAACATTACTAACTAGTAATGTAAATTTAAATGAAAATAGAAATCATTTCATGTGTCTCAGGTTGCACAAAAACACCAAATATTGGCAAATTTCTCAAATAATGAAATTTCCCATCCACCAACAGGGGTTTAATTTCTTAAATTATTTTAAACATTATTTGGCATTGGATAGTAAAATAGGATATATGTGTATATCTGTATGACCCAGAAATCCTTCTCCCAAATATAGATCTTAAATAAACTACTCCAATAAGCACAGGGAAACATGCCCATAAACATTTATGGCAACATTGTTTCCATCAACAAAAAGAAAACCAACTCACATTGATAGTCAAATAAATTTTAAAACTATGGTGCAGTTGTAAAATGGCACTCTACAGCTCTAAAATGTTACACATCAAAATGAACAAATTGCAAAAATATAATTGAAGTGAAAGAAGTCACAAAAGAACATCACATTATTTACATCACATTATTGGCAACCATGCTTTGCTAAACAAAACAGTTTTTGAGATGAATATCCATATGGTTTAAATACCATGATTTAAACTCAGTAGCCAAGGAAGCAACATTATCTAAGAGTATGCTGACTATCTGGACCTGCCATCCCCATTGGGAGATCTCAAAGACAGGAAGTGGGGGTTAGTAGATCCTCCATCTCAGATCACTTTGCATAGTAGTTAAGATCATAGTTTCTAGTCAACTTTTCTAGACTCATTTCTCAGCTCTGCCATGGCTGGTTGAGTGACCATATGCAAGTATTTAACATTTTAGCATTTGTTTTCTTCATTTCTGAAATGTAGATAATAATGTGACTTTATTAAAGTAAGCTATTTAGAATGGGTCCTGGAAATAATTATTCTATGACAGTGACCAACTGTGGCATAATTGTTACTTATCAAAAAAAGTAAGTTTAGTAATGTTCCATTATTCCTATGACCTACAATTCTTCAAAAATGGTATTTACAAAATTACATCATCATATTCTTATTTTGTGAGGGTTATGCACAGCCTGTGTAAAATACAGATAGCAAAAAAGAAAAACAAGTTTTATATTAGGCTACTTGTTGCAGTAAGAAACACTGATTTTCTAATGAAACTGAAAAAATGTTTTACTTCTTTCTGATGAGGAAAATGTTTATACAGAAAAATATTAATAACTTATTTGGAGTAATTATTGAAAATTGAGAATACAATTTGTTTATCAAGTTAAAATTATACAGAGGGGTTCCTTTAATTTGCTCTTGATTAATTAGACATTTTTCTTCAGGTACATGACAGATGGAGGGCTTAACCTGTACACTCGGAGTCTGAACCGAATACCAGACACAACTACTTCAAGAGATGTCATTCAGAGAGGTGTTCATGATGTGACTGTGGATGCAGACAGGTAAATCTGTCAGCATATGTGATGGTGAGGAGTGTACGAGGCAGTTTCACAAATAAGGTCACAAGGGTTTTACAATAGATACAAAGAAGGCTTTATTTTGACATGATGATCATTTTGGAATTTTTTAAAAACTAAAGTGATTTAGTTTGCGAGATCATTTTGACTTTGTTATAGTGAACAATTGTGTTGCTGATGAGAAGACTTATAATTCTAATCTCTATAAAAGCAAAATTATAAACATAGACTTACTTTCTATATTTGAAAGAATGCTGATTCTTCTTTTTTTCTAATGCAGATACCCTCTGATTTACTGGGAAGCTAATTCTATAAGAATTAAAACTTATTTCACATCATTAGATAAAAAGTTTGATGTTTTTCTTGAGGATATTGTTAAAAACATACAACTCTTGCTTTTGGCCTTTTTCTTTCTCAAGGACTCATATAGCTTACCTCTCATCCTTGTGGTTTCCCAACTACTTTAGTTAAAGTTCTTTTAAATAATATGAAGCATATTTGAGAATTGATTCTTAGCAAATTAGTAAATAAGGCTTTTCAACAGTTCACTGATAAGAAAGCTCAAAAGCCAAAAAAAAAAAAAAATTCCTCAAGGGTGTTTTTGTTTTTGTTTTTTAATTTGTTAGGTATTCTCTCTAAAAGCTGTATTACTGAAATGCATTTAGATAATAGCACAAAACCACCTAGCTGGAATAGCAAGGACTCAAGTAGTTGGTGTTGCTATAGTGAAGGATGTAGGTTCCCATCTGATCAACTTCTGGTAAGAATGTAGATGGGCAATCAAGAATAGCTGAGTAATTCTTACTAGCAGATTGAAAATGCCCACCCACCCCCCCAAAAGAAGAGGGTTTGCAGTAGCCAGCTATGGTATATTCTAAGTATTGTGTTGCTTAAAGATGTTCCATGTCAATCCAATACCAACCTAATTTCCTTTTTAACCTAAGAAAAGATCATAAAATAAATGTAATCCTCATGGGCATGTTAGAGACTCCCTAGGAAATTTTATAATATATTCATAACAGTTAATGTAAAAGGAAACATTTACAAAAGACAGTATATTTTAAGTAGAGCCTTTGAAAAAAACATAAGATTTGTGACACATACCCTGGAGAATCAGAAGGAAGTTTGGGAATGGGAGCATAGAGGCTCAAAATAATTTGGCATAAGGAACATTGAATGTGATTCTGCTAGTGTACTGGGAATGTAGATGGGAATGACCAGAGATAAAGGACTTAGGGAGACATTCTAGGGTGTTTGAGCCTACAGATAGTAATGAACAATTTTTACTAATTATAATTAGCTTTTTAATTTTTTTCAAAGCAAAAGCATGCAATGGTTATTATAATCATTGTATTTTTAAATGAATCCTCCCTCTGAAATATAAGATTAATGGAGATGGTTGATACCAAGGCAGGTAGGTTGCTTAGGAAATGATTGTAAAAGTCCACATCAAGCTGTGTGTGGTGGCACATGCCTGTGTCCCAGCAGCTTGGGAGGTTGAGGCAGGACTATCATGAGTTCAAAGCCAGCCTCAGCAACTTAATGAGGCACTTAGCAACTCAGGGAGACTCTGTCTCTAAATAAAATATAAAAAAGGAATGGGGATGTTGCTCAGTGTGAAGCACCCCAGGGGTCAATTCCCAGTACAAAAAAAAAAAAAAAGTCCATATGAAAAGTAGATGAAGACGTAAATGAAAAATGGCAGTAGGAATGGGTCTGGGGACACCCTTTATTCCTAGAGGAACTTGGGTTTGCCTGCTTGACTGCCATCAAAGGATACCTCAAAGTGAATGTCTTAAAAGACTTCATTTCTCACCTTTCTGGAGGCTAGAAATTTATGGCCACAAGTCAGCAAAGGTGGTTTCTGATGAGAACTTTAGTTTACAGATAGCCAAAAAACATAGTGCATATGACCAACTTAAGTTGGCAGCCCCCTTCTGCTCTAGAGGTTGCTGCCTTTGGGAAGACTTGAGTGTGGTAAAAAGGCCCAGGGTTGCCAAACCAGTTGAGGTTTCCAGTGAGGCTGAGTCTAGACTTTTGTGTGAAATCTAATTTTTAAATATTGGTAATTCTCCTAACAGATCTATGAGGACAATGAATAAAGATTTTATCTTTCTTCAATAGCAGATAATCTATATAAGCAAAGATGCTTATATAAAGCAGGAGACAACATTCTCGCTTATAGTTGTGTAAACTACTCATGTCCCTTAAAGCTTCTGACAGAGGTACAGCTGGTAATGATACTGCCTGTTCAGAGAGAAAAATGCACCAGTGAGGAGAAGCTTCCCACCAGGTGCAAGTAACAGTGGTGAAATGATCTGAGCCACATCTCCAAGTTGTTTTTTTTTGTTGTTGTTGTTGTTGTTTTAATGCAAGACAGCACAAATCCAAGGTCAGTTTTCCAGCCTTAGTATCTCTCAGTAGAGCTGGCCTTGGGCCAGCCTAAGGCCTTTTTTGGCAGTAACTAATTAAATCATGTTTAATCACTGTGTGAATTGACACTATGCACAGTAGAAGCACATTTGAATCTCTGATGTGGAGCGAGAAAACGAATTCTGAGAGCAAATTTGCCCTTAACATCTTAAGAGTAAATAAAGGAAGCTCGGACATTGGAGAGTCAGAGAGGTCAGCTCTGATACAAAAATTGAGGAGGGTAAACTGAGCTAGGGTTAACTGATGATGGTTTTGAAATGGAGAGAAGGGGGAATAGGTAACAATGTCAGATTCTGAAGAAATGTAGTTTGGCAATGACATTCTTATTAGTGACCGTATCGATATTAGTTTCAATGAAGTCCTTAAGGAGTGTGCTAGGTTATAAGAGATGAGAAGGAAATAGAAGGTTAAGCGCAATGAAAGCAGAGGTGATCTTCACAAAGGTAACAGTAAAGGTAAGGAAGGTGGCCAGTTGAAAGTGATCACAAGGGACAGGAGGAAAATGACTTTATCACTGGTTTTCTCTGTTTTGTTTGGGGGATGTAAAAATTCCAGAAGGCATTAAGAGAGTGAATTCCTAGACAAAATAATATGATAATTTTTTTTAAAAATTGGAAAAATTTAGCTAGAAATGATTGGACTGTATAGATTTAACTCTTATACTCCCTTTCTAATTCATATGTTTAGGTCTAACTCTCATTTTGATGATATTTGGAGGTAGATTTTTGAGAGATGATCAGATAATGAAAGCAGAATCCTCCTGATTTAGTACCTTTACAAAAGAGATCCAAGATTGCTCCCTAGCGCCTTTCACCATGTGAGGTTACAGCAAAAAGATGATGGTCTATGAACCAGGAAGTTAAGACCTCACTGGACACCAAATCTGCTGAATCCCTGATTTCTGATTTCCCAGCCTCCAGAACCATGAGAAATTTCTGTTGTTTGTTTATAAGCCATCAAGTCTGTGGCAGTTTGTTATGGAGACCTGAACAGACTAAGAAAAGAACTAAAATTGTAAGCACTATGAAGTTAGCTGAAGGGAGAGACCCTTCCCTCTCTGAAACAGAAAAAGTGCTATTATCACTACTTTGGAGGTGTGGGAAAATACTGGAATTTATAATTCTACTTTCTCTGTAAAATAGAAGCTAAGAAATCACTGAGAGTGAGTAACATATGTGCAAGATAGGATATTGAGAAACTTATCAAAATTTGAAATTAAAATGTTTGCAGGGAGGCCTTGAAAGCCTCAGTAATAGAATAATAGCATTGTTGAGATCTAACTTACATGTAAAAATTTTTCTTGTGTACAATTCAGTGATTTTTAGTGAATTCATAATGAGTTGTTCAAGCACTGGCACTGCCACATCCAGATTTACAACTTTCCCCCTTCCCCCAAAGATCTCTCAGTACCATTTGCCATCAGTCTTCACTTTGACACTCAGCACTAGGCAACCACTTGAACACCTTCTGTCTTTATGGATTAGGGATATTTCGTATGAATGGATTCATATAGTCTTTTGCATATAGTTTCTTAGCACAATGTTTTTGAGGTCATACATGTTGTAATATATCTCAGTAGTTGATTTTTTTTTTTGCTGAATGATAGGTAGGATATACAGCTTTGTGTTTATCTGTTGGTGAGTTGATGAACAATTGAGTTGTTTCCACTATTTTAACTCTTTTGTATGATGCTGCTATAAAATTAATGGTGAAGTCTTAAATTCATAGTAAGTAGATCTGTGTTTTGCTTCTCCTTGATGGAAACATTTAGATTGAATATCTAGGTCGTATGACAAATTTGTGTTTAACTTTTTATGAAATGGCCTCTTTTCCAAATTGCTATACCAACTCATTCCCATCATCAGTACATAATATTTACAGTTTTCATTGTGGTCTACACTTGATAACAGTGGTAGTTTTTAGTTTATTTATAGCTTCTTTGTTTAAATGTCTACTTAAACCTTTTGTGCATTTTAATTGATTTGTTTGGCCTCTATTTAGTGAATTTAACAAGTGTTTTAAAATATATTCTGTATGCAAGTTCTTTTACCAAATCATACCAGTTCATAGTTTATCTTTTTGTATTTTTAGTGATATGAAGCACAAAGTTTTAAATTTAGATTGTGAACCATTTAGTGCATTTTCTGTGCAAAGCATTCTTCACATAACTCAAGGCTAATAGTTAATACTTGAAACCATAAATTTATAATAGATTCAATCAGTATCTACTTTCTATAGACTTACTCAGGAGCTTGACTATAGGAGTAGAAAAAAAAAAAGTATCTCACTGGATAGATTCTGAATTGGGAATTGAGTGGTTGAATTTAATTAGATGTGCTCCTTAGAGTATATATGAAGTGATTGAAAATTAGGCTTATGCTGAATTGAGATGGTTGTGAAGCAGAGCATGCTGTCTGTGAAACAAAAAGAATTCTACAGAAACATTGGGAGTTTAGAAGAAGTCCGTAGCATGTCTAATAAATGGAAGGGAATGAAACAGGTTGATTAGCAGAAGAAAGTATTTGCCAGAGAATTAAATAAAAATATGAAGT